AACATTAACTGACCCTTCTTCTTCCAGTCCTGGGGGAGTCTCTTCCTACCATCATGAGACACCTGATGCGCGGATCCCAGCTTGGCCTCTATATCTAGGGCCTTCCTGATGAATGTAGCAAAGCTGCGTTGGTCTATGTAGGCTTCATCCACCAGTTTCGTCCTGACTTCTGATGGAAGACATCTCAAATAATCTGTGAGGAGTACTTGATGGTCAAAGCGCACACAAGGTACTACGATCAGACGTTCTACAGCGTCTGTGACTTCACGAACATTCTTGTACTTTTTGGCACAAAGATTGTTGATCGCGTTGGTGGCCTTCTGAGCCCCTTGAGGGCACCTCTTGTACACAGTCTGTACGAAATGTTCCAATGTCTGGGCCTGTGCCCATGCATCGAAGTCTTGACCATAGCCCTGTTGCTGCACTAACCCGTTCAACCAACGTGCATATGCAGGCACAGTTCTTACCCAGGTGTCCAGATCCTCATCCTTCTTCCTGTCTCCAGAAAAAGGCTTAGGACTCAGCAAAGGAATCTTGGGCATCCACTGCATAGGCTGCATGGGCACAGGGACTTGCTGCAGCGGCTGCATAGCCACTGAAACAGGCTGTTGCACACTAACCTGGGCCTAGCTTGACAGTGGGACTGTAGTGGCCACTGTCGTAGATGGTACGACTGAGACTCTATGAACCTGAGCACTAGTTGCTACTAAACCACCTGGAGGGGGCATGCCAAACATAGGAGAGAAAGATGGCCCTGTGGGTTGCGGCCTCGATGAAGGACCCGCACCCGCAGGGGGAGCAACAACAAACTGCGGCTGCCTCATCACTGTACGAGGAGCCCGAAGTTCAGCGAGGATTTGTTTCTGGCCTGCCACCAATTCGGTCAGCAATTCCTGCTGGACATTCTGTGCTTCTGCCACTGATAATAAAGCACTACGCAGCACACGGACAGCAGGGTCTAATGCCGCCTCATCTAGCCCTTCCAGTCTGCCTAGCTCCTGCACTCTACTTCCTAGGCTAGCCTTTCTGAGTATTGCTCTTCTTCTCCTCTCTGCTGCTTCGTCCAATTGCCGCTGCAGCTCATCCTGAAGCTCTTCTGCTTGTTGGATTTCTAAATCCTCCGGTGTGAGTGGACTCTGCTGGCTGACTTGCAAACCAACAGACTGACTAACTGCACCCTGACCTGCTCCTGACGAAGAAGATTGGGAAGAGGTTTGTGACGTAGAGGCGGCGGTAGCCATCGCAGCCACTAAGCTGGCTGCTGCGTCCCTAATCCTCCTCGCTGCTACCCTCTCCTCATCAACAGCAAACATGAGTGAGACTCGGTAGAAGAGAAGTGGAATAAAACGTGTGAGCACCGACAATTTCAGAGAATTCCAGAGAAAAGACATCGTGACGTGCGTCTGCCGCACCATAAATACTCAATTAACGATAATAAATTCCACGGCCGCACTGATCTACCACAACAAGATTTCAAAGAACCGAAGAAAAAGAATCAGATACAATTATTTCTATTTCTAACTATTGCTGTTCTTTGTCTGTCCGTGTGACGACGTCCTAAACAAGAGTGTACAGGTACCACGTCAGGCCCGTGTGATCAGACACAACACACAAGTAAGTATGCAAACACCACACACAGCAACAACAGGTAAGTATGGCGACAACAATCACAAAACAGTTTGTCAGCAATCTTCGTTGGTTTGCTGTGTCTTCTCGATATCAGTGCGATCACGCACTCCCCCTGACAGCTGGCACTACAGCTCTGTAATCTGTCCAGTCAGCTGTACTGCGGTCGTCTTTAGAGTGCACCTCTTACTTGGCAGTATCCTGCCTGCCACGTGTCATCCCTGGAGTGCCAACATAGCAAATGTTGCCACGTCAGCACTCTATCCAGTCTGTAAATAATGGGATGCCACGTCAGCAAATGTGTAGTCTGATCCTCGCCACGTGCCTCTTCCAAGCGTCACGTGAGATACCTTCGCCGTTCCAGCCAGTCAGATCATGCCACGTCAGCCAAGGAGTTCAATGCCACGTCAACAGGCAGCCACCACCTCATAAGACAGGTGTGATGACCTGCTCCCGCTACGTCAGCAATCAATCTTCTTTCCTCCAGGCCACGTCAACATCTGCAGTAGACCCCGTCGCGTGTCAGCAGCACAAGGAGTGCCACATCAGCAATCAACAGGGTCTTCAGACGCAGCACGATATGTGCCACGTCAGCAAGGGGTCGCGATTCCACGTTACTGTCGCGATCCTGACTGGTGTGCGGTATCCTTTGTCGCGATCCCGACTGCCACGTCAGCAGCCTGGGATGTCTTCTCGCCGGCAGAGTCTGTACCTCGTCAACTTCCCCGGTCAAGTTTTCTCGCCAGTGAATCTGCACTTCGTCAACAAACCCCGAGAGTGTGTTCTTGCCAGAGAGGTATGTGCCACGTTAATACCCCCAGCGTATCCCTTGCCACGTCATCACCTACTCAACTTTACTTACCTGCGTGCCACCTGGCGCGTAATCAATATACAAATGTCGTCGTCAGGAGAACTGCTCGAATACCAAATTGCAATGAACCCAGATCGTGAAGACAGTTGTCAACAATGCAAACCCAGATAAATGTCCATCGGCTGATGATTACGAATAGTCAAAATCGTAACCAGACAGAATGAGATGAGGTAATCATACACAGACGAAAAGAGAGGAGGGAGAAGAGACAAAGGAGAGGAAAGTACAATGCCCACTCCTGCTTCGGGCTCCCTCCTCTACTACCACCTCAATAATCAATAGTCTAAATGAGTATCTAATCAGTCCCACATCAGCACTGGAGCAATGTCGACATGAAGACAGCCAGGTACGTATCCACGAACTCTCCACAGTCCTGATCTCCTCCGGAAGTGACGATGAACAGAACAGCAATGCCGATCATGTAGTCCCAGCCATAGAACACGTGGCAGCAGCCACGTCAACCAATGATACACGTGGCAGCAGCCACATCAGCGACAACGCATGGCAGCTGCCACGTCAGCATGCCAAGAAGATAGGAGCAAGCCGGCCACCATGCCGGACTAGCAGCGCCTCGCCAAGTCACAATGCCAGCGTCGCAGCGTCGAGCCAACGTCGCAGCGTCGAGCCAGCGTTGAAGTCAACACGTGAAGTCAGCATCAACGCAAGACAGAATGAATGTCAAAGCCAGGAAGTTAGCGCTTATGTAGCGTTGATGCCGGGCCTGGACCCCGGTTGCTGCCTCCCTCAATCGTCCAGATCTCAATGCAAACGAG